TTATATTATTTACAGGGTTAAAGTATTATGTTAGTATTAGCTAGTGTTGAGGCTGTTGAAGGAGTAAAAAGAGTAGAGGGGGTAGGATTTAGGTAAATATTTAGAGAAAATTTAGTCAGTAAATTAATAACGTTATTTGAGAAATTTAACTTTAGTTAGGGATATTTATTCTTCAATAGGGACATGGCTCTGTAACTCAATAAAATACACATAAGCGAAAATATAATTGGGTGTAGGTATGCGTGAGTTATCTATATGAGCTGGCGTGATTCTCTTGTTTTTGGGGTTTGGCAGGAGTATATAGTTGCGTTAGTAATAATATAGTAACGGGGGGTAGGGGGGTTTGCGCATATAATTCTATATATATTATATTTAACGCGCGTACGTGTACGTGTACGTGTACGTGTACGTGTACGTGTACGTGTACGTGTACGTGTACGTGTACGTGTACGTGTACGTGTACGTGTACGTGTACGTGTACGTGTACGTGTACGTGTACGTGTACGTGTACGTGTACGTGTACGTGTACGTGTACGTGTACGTGTACGTGTACGTGTACGTGTACGTGTACGTGTACGTGTACGTGTACGTGTACGTGTACGTGTACGTGTACGTGTACGTGTACGTGTACGTGTACGTGTACGTGTACGTGTACGTGTACGTGTACGTGTACGTGTACGTGTACGTGTACGTGTACGTGTACGTGTACGTGTACGTGTACGTGTACGTGTACGTGTACGTGTACGTACGTGTATTTGGGCGTAGTGGTGTGCGTAAATATGTTATGTCCGTCGAGCATGAATTAAATAGTCAATCATGGATATGCAATGAGGAAATACAATACGCAATTTGGGCATGTCTACAATTGAATTGTCTACATCCAGGCCTCCTGGCCTTGCTGAGTCAAGACACCCCCCCCTTAAAAATTAAAAAATACCAAAGGCACTTAATTCTCCCGTGACTGGAAAAGAGGGTGAATGGCCCGTTACCATCGTGATGTCTTATTTAAGAGGAACGAATGGGCGGTTCTAGGTGTTATGGCCCTGAAGTAAGAACCAGATGTCAGATATAGTTTCAGGATAGCTACCCCCAAGTTTTATGGGCCCGGAGCGAGAAGAGGGATCCGAATTGGATGAGGTTGCTGGTTTCACGGAGGATGGTAGTACCCGAGTAATAATGGAAGGGGATAGTCGTGTGGTAGAGAGTTGGTTTAATCGAAATGGTGTATGTCTGATGACGCATTTGCTGTCCATTTGGCTGCATGAATGGTTGATCCTTGTTGGATATTCCTGTGTGGGACAAGTTCTAGTTAATTGAGATTTTCTAGTCTTGGAGAATTGATCTTTTCTGTACATGCTTATATGCATGGGGCAGATAGGTTAATGTACGATTAAGCATATATGTCCTATGTAAGATTATGCATATATAGTACTAATACATATTCATGGGGAGGGGCATTAAATGCACGATATACATAGGGTTATGTAAGGTTTTGTTAATACTGATATATTATATAAGAATGTTTGAGTCTGTGCAGGGAATAGTTTATTGAGAATACCAGCTTTGGGGGTTGGTGGTGGGGTGTGAAGCCTCTTCCTTGAGGTGAGTCCTAGGGAGGTTGATTTCCTTCATTCTTGGTTTACAAAACCAAAGTAATAGTTATACTACAAGGACTCTATCATTTGAGTAGTTTGCTTTCAATTAGGTTAGTTATGGGCATAAGGATTAGGATAGTTAAGAAATAGAGGACGGAGGCTGCTTGTCCGATAGTGATGTATGGGTATTCAACGGGTTGGCCGCCAATTCAGGTTAGTGTTAGTAAGTCGGCTGCTAGAATTCAGAATAGGCATTGGCTGAGGGGGCGAAAGATTATACTTCGTTGTTTAGATATGTGTAATATAGGGATGATGGCCAGAATTAGGATTGATAATACTAGGGCTAAAACACCTCCTAGTTTGTTAGGGATAGATCGTAAGATAGCGTATGCGAATAAGAAATATCATTCTGGTTTAATATGGGGTGGAGTGTTTAGAGGATTAGCTGGGGTATAATTGTCTGGGTCTCCTAAAAGATCTGGTATAAATAGGACTAGGATCATAAGAAGTAATATTAGGATTATTAAGCCTAGAATATCTTTGATTGTAAAGTATGGGTGGAATGGGATTTTGTCGGTATCGGATGATATTCCTGAGGGATTGTTAGACCCGGTTTCATGAAGAAATAGGAGATGAACAATTACAAGGGCCGTCACTACGAATGGGAGAATAAAATGAAAGGCGAAAAATCGTGTGAGGGTGGCTTTATCGACTGAGAAGCCTCCTCAGATTCATTCAACTAGATTGGTACCAATATAAGGGATGGCGGATAAGAGGTTGGTGATGACGGTGGCACCTCAAAATGATATCTGTCCTCATGGGAGGACATAACCTATAAATGCTGTTGCTATGACTGCAAATAATAAGAGGATTCCAATATTTCATGTCTCTAGGAAAGTGAAAGAGCCATAGTATAGGCCTCGACCTACATGCATAAATAAGCAGAGGAAAAACATGGATGCTCCATTTGCGTGTAAGTACCGGATAATTCATCCGTAATTTACGTCTCGGCAGATGTGTGTTACGGAGGAGAATGCGGTTGTTGTGTCTGATGTATAGTGTATAGCTAGAAATAGTCCTGTAATGATTTGAAGCCCCAGGCATACTCCTAGGAGAGAGCCGAAGTTTCATCATGCAGAGATATTAGAGGGCGCGGGGAGATCAATGAATGATTGGTTAATAATTTTTATAAGGGGGTGTGTTTTTCGTAGGTTTGCCATTAGGTTCTTGTAGTTGAATAACAACGGTGATTTTTCGGGTCATTAGTCGTGGTTTAAGTCCATGTGGGAACTAATGACGTATGTTGTGTTTTTATTGAGTATAATTTTTTTAATAGGGTTTATTGGGTTTTCTTCAAAGCCTTCTCCTATTTACGGGGGCTTAGGCTTAATTATTAGTGGAGGGGTTGGGTGTGGAATGGTATTAAGTTTTGGTGGTGTTTTTGTTGGGTTGATGGTGTTTTTGATTTATTTAGGTGGAATGTTGGTTGTATTTGGATATACAACGGCAATGGCTATGGAGGAGTATCCAGAAGCTTGGGGGTCAAGCGTTTCTATATGAGGGGTGTTGTTGTTAGGTTTATTGTTAGAATTGTTTGTAGTAGTGTGGATAGTATATCGTGATAGTGTTGGATTTAAGAGTTTAGAAGATTGGGTTGCTTTTGGGGGCGACATGTTTAGTTTACTTCGTGAAGATTCTGTGGGGGTGGCGTCTTTATATGGTAGTGGTAGTTGACTGATAGGGGTTGCTGGTTGGACTTTGTTTGTTACTATTTTTATTGTGCTTGAAATTACTCGGGGTTTTAGATAATAGTTAAAAGGGCTCCAAGTAGTATCGTAATAAGAAAGGATAGAGAGTATAGCTTAATTATACCTGATTGACTAGAGGTGGTGGTGGAGGTATACATATGGATTATAGCTGTGGTTTTTGGTATTATCTTTTCTAATCAGAGAAGGTCTAGAAGTGAGGAGGCAGTGTTTTGGCTTGTGTATATACTTATAAGGGGACATAGACGGTGGGTTGTGATTGGAAAAAATCCTAATAAATTGGAGAATAGAAGGGGTTGAGTAATTCGTTTTAGTTTAAGGAAATACGTGAGGTTATTGAGTTCTATGGCTAGTGTAAATCCTGTGATAGTTACAGCAAATGCTGAGAGTTTTAGATATAGTGGCATGGTTATTTGTGGGATTGTTATGGGAGGAATGGAGTTTGAGATGAGAAAGCCTGCAAAGATGCTACCTAGGGCTAGGCGTATAATGGGATTGACTAGGAGGGGGTTATTTTCGTTAATGTTTGTTGAGGTTGGAAAGCGGGGCTTGCCTAGAAGTGCAAAGAAGATGATGCGGGTACTGTAAACGGCTGTTAGGGATGTGGCAAGTAGAGTGATAGAGAGGGCTCAGGCGTTGGTGTATGAGGTGTTGGCAGCTTCGATAATTAAGTCTTTAGAGTAGAAGCCTGTGAGAAAGGGGGTGCCTGTGAGAGCGAGACTTCCGATGAGCAGTGAGGAGGAGGTAAAGGGTAAGGTTATAAGAAGTCCTCCTATTTTGCGAATGTCTTGTTCATCATTTAGGCTATGGATAATAGACCCTGAGCATATAAATAGTATGGCTTTAAAGAAGGCGTGGGTGCAGATGTGGAGAAAAGCTAGATGGGGTTGGTTAATACCGATAGTCACTATTATAAGGCCCAGTTGACTAGAGGTAGAGAATGCGACGATTTTTTTAATATCGTTTTGTGTTAAAGCACAGATTGCTGTGAAGAGGGTTGTAATGGCTCCTAGGCATAGTGTTATAGTTTGAATTAATTTATTTGTCTCTAGAAGGGGATGAAATCGGATTAGTAGGAAAACTCCGGCTACTACTATAGTGCTAGAGTGGAGTAGGGCGGAAACTGGGGTTGGGCCCTCTATAGCAGAGGGGAGTCATGGGTGGAGTCCAAATTGTGCGGATTTCCCTGCAGCAGCTAGAAGTAGACCTAATAGGGGGAGTGTGTCGGAGTTATGGGTGGTAATAAAAATTTGTTGAAATTCTCATGAGTTGGAGTAGGTCAAGAATCATGCTATTGCTAGAATAAAGCCAATGTCTCCAATACGATTATAGAGGATTGCTTGAAGGGCTGCTGTGTTTGCATCTGTTCGTCCATATCACCACCCAATGAGGAGGAAAGACATAATACCCACTCCTTCTCATCCAATAAAAAGTTGGAATAGGTTGTTAGCGGTGACTAGAATTAATATGGTGATGAGGAAGACCAATAGGTATTTAAAAAATCGGTTAATATGGGGGTCTGAGTGTATGTATCATATTGAGAATTCTATAATGGATCATGTAACAAATAAGGCCACTGGTATAAAAATTGTGGAGAAATAATCTATCTTGAAGCTTAGGCATAATTTCATAGTATGAATCGTTATTCAATGTCAGTTGGAAATGATTATTTCTTGATTTGTGTATAGAAATATGAGCATTGGGACTAGGCTTGTTATAAATGCGCAGGCGATAGAGTTTTTTACGTAGTAAGGGTATGCATGTGTTTCATATTTTTTAGTTGTTGTAATAATAAATGGGGTAATTAAGAGTGTAAGTGATAGTAAAATGGAGGATGAAAATAAATTTATTACTTTTATTTGGAGTTGCACCAATTTTTCGGTTCCTAAGACCGATGGATTACTTCTATCCTTTAAAAGTAAGAAAGCCACATTGTTATATATGGAGGCATGAGTTAGCAGTTCTTGCATACTTTCTTGGTAAATAAGAAATCTTTGGGCTTCTATTATTAGACTCACAATCTAATGTTTTGTTTAAACTATATTTACAGTACATGGTTCCTATAATTAGTTTGGGGTTGGTAGATAGTAGGATTAAGGGAAATAGGTGTATGATTATTAATGTATTTTCTCGGGTGAAAGGGGGCATGATATTGTTGATATGATATGTGTATTTTCCTCGTTGAGTTATGATTAGTATATATAGGGAATATAGGGCGGTGATAAGGGTGTTAAGGCCTACTAAGATAATAGTTAGGTGTGACCATGAAAATGCTGCTATTATTACGGACAGTTCACCGATTAAATTAATTGTTGGGGGAAGGGCCAGGTTGGTTAAGCTGGCGAGGAGTCATCATGTTGCTGCAAGAGGTAATAGGGTTTGAAGGCCACGGGCTAGTGCTATTGTTCGACTGTGGACTCGTTCGTAGTTTGTATTTGCTAGGCAAAATAATAGGGAGGAGGTGAGGCCATGGGCAATTATAAGAGTGGTGGCTCCAATGAAACTTCATGGGGTTTGGATAAGGATTGCCACAATAACAAGAGCTATGTGGCTAACCGAGGAGTAGGCAATGAGTGATTTTAAGTCTGTTTGACGTAGGCAGATGGAGCTAGTTATAATTATGCCTCATAGGGAGAGTATTAGGAAGGGATAGGCCATGTATTCTATTGGGGGATTTAGAATAATTGTAATTCGTATTATTCCGTATCCTCCAAGTTTAAGTAGGATAGCTGCAAGGACTATGGATCCTGCAATTGGGGCTTCGACATGGGCTTTAGGTAGTCATAGGTGAAGTCCATATAGGGGTATTTTTACTATAAAGGCTATTATGCAGGCCAACCAGAGGATGCTATTTGACCAAGAGTTGGAAAGGCTCGGTATAATGAGAGTGTTAATTATTATATTTAGTGATCCTAGGAGATTTTGGGTATAAACAAGAGCGATGAGTAAGGGGAGTGATCCAATTAGTGTGTAAAATAAAAAATAAAGGCCGGCGTTTAGTCGTTCTGTTTGATTACCTCATCGTGTAATAATGATTAGTGTGGGAATTAGAGTCGCTTCAAATAAGATGTAGAAGAAAATTAGTTCTGTGGCTGTAAAAGTCATGATTAGAAAAGCTTGGAGTGTGATTAGTATGGAGATATATAGTTTTTTTCGTGTGAGTGGCTCTTTTGATAAATGGTTTTGGCTGGCTATAATTATCAAAGGAAGTAACCAGGTGGTCAAGATTAGTAGTGGTGTTGATAAAGAGTCAGTAGAGAAGGTGGCTGAGAAGTTTGTACTAATGTCGAGAAAGTAGTTTAATAGGGAGAGTGTGGTGAGGCTGATTACTAGGCTATGGACTGTAGTATTAATTCAAATAGTATGTTTTTTAGAATATCATGTTAATGGAATTATTATAAGTGTTGGTAGAATGATTTTTAGCATTGTAAAAGGCTTAAGTTTTGTACATAATCTAGACCGTATGTATTTGACACCATTACTAGTAGGGCTAAACCTACAGCGGCTTCACAGGCTGCGAAGACTAGGAGTATAATTGGAATTATGTTAGCTAGAGTGAAGTGAAGATTTAGAATTGTTAATGAAGTTATAATAAATATTGAGAGTATTATGCCTTCTAGGCATAGCAGGGAAGATATGAGGTGTGAGCGATATATTAATATACCCAGGAGTGATGTTAGAAAGGCAAGAACAAGGTTAATGTAGATGTACGGCATTTTGGTAATTATGCGCTGTGCATAATCTAATGAGTCGAAATCATTTATTTTACTTAAACTAACTACCATATTCAGTTCATTCAAGTCCTTTTTGGATTCATTCATATGCGAGGCCTAGGGCTAGAATAGTAATAAGGGCTAGGGCTATAGTTAATATAAGGCTAAGGTTCGTTGTATGGGTAGCTCAGGGAAGAGGGAGAAGAAGAGCAATTTCTAAGTCAAATAGGAGAAAGGTGATAGCAATTAGGAAGAATTTTATGGAGAATGGCAGGCGAGCTGATTCTGTTGGGTCGAAGCCACATTCATAGGGGCTGGATTTTTCTGTATATATATTTAGTTGTGGCAGTCAGAATGCAATTGAAACCAAAAGTAGTGCGAGTGTTATATCTATAATTAGGGATAGAATTAAATTAATTATTCTTTCCTGGGTTGTACCAGGACTAATTGATTGGAAGTCAACTGTACTAATTAATACTAAAGGAATAGGACCCTCATCAATAAATAGAGACGTATAAGAAGAGTCAGACCACGTCTACAAAATGTCAGTATCAGGCGGCAGCTTCAAATCCGAAATGGTGGTTTGATGTGAAGTGGAATTTTAATTGTCGAAAGAAGCAAATAGTTAGAAAAGTTGAGCCAATGATAACGTGGAGTCCGTGAAAGCCTGTAGCTATAAAGAAAGTTGATCCGTAGACACTATCGGAGATGGTAAAGGATGTTTCAAAGTATTCTGATATTTGAAGCAGGGTAAAGTAAATGCCTAATATAATGGTAATTGACAGGGCTTGAAGTATTTGTTTGCGATTACCCTCTAGCAGGCTATGGTGGGCTCATGTAATGGAAACGCCTGAGGCTAGTAAGACGGATGTGTTTAGTAGAGGCACTTCTATAGGATTTAGAGGATAAATACCTGTTGGGGGTCAGCAGCCTCCTAGTTCGGGAGTTGGTGCTAGACTGGAGTGGTAAAAGGCTCAGAAGAAGCCTGCGAAGAAGAATACTTCTGAAATGATAAATAGAATTATACCGTATCGAAGGCCTTTTTGTACAATTGGTGTGTGATGGCCTTGAAAGGTTCCTTCTCGAATAATATCGCGCCATCACTGATATATCGTTAGTGTATTTGTAGCAAGACCTAAAATTAGGAGTATAAGGGAGTTGAAGTGGAATCATATGATAAGACCTGATGTTATGAGAAGAGCTGAGAGAGCTCCGGTTAGTGGTCAGGGGCTGGGGTTTACTATATGATAGGCATGTATTTGGTGGGTCATTATGTGTTATCATGTAAATAAAGACTTACTAGAAGTGTAAAAACATAAGCTTGAATAAGGGCCACAGCTAGTTCTAGAATTGTTAGTAATATAAGAATAATAAATGTTGTTAATGCTGCAATGGTGCTAATTGATGATAAAACTAGAGTAGCCCCTCCAATTAAGTGTATGAGCAAGTGACCTGCTGTAATATTGGCGGTCAGTCGTACGGCTAGAGCTATTGGTTGAATAAAGAGGCTGATTGTTTCGATAATAATCAGTATCGGAATAAGGGGAAAGGGGGTCCCTTGTGGGAGAAAGTGAGCCAAGGATGCTTTGGTTTTGTGTCGGAAGCCGGTAATTACTGCTCCTGCTCATAGAGGAATCGCTATACCTAAATTTATTGATAATTGGGTAGTTGGTGTGAAGGAGTGGGGCAGTAGGCCTAATAGGTTTGTGGATCCAATAAATAAAATTAGGGAGATTAATATTAGGGATCAGGTTCGACCTTTATTATTGTGTGTAGACATTATTTGTTTAAGTACTAGTTGAACTAACCATCGTTGGAGGGAGATAAATCGGTTGTTAATTAGACGGGCTGAGGTTGGAAATAGGATAATTGGGAATATAATAACTAGTACTACTACTGGTAGACCTATTATTGTAGGGGTAATGAAAGAGGCAAATAGATTTTCGTTCATTTTAGTTCTCAAGGGGAATTAAGTGTTTGTAATTTAATGTCTGCTAAGCTTAGGTTAAAGGGGTATGTTAGTTTTGAAATATTTAGTTGAAATAAAATGAAAAGAGTTAGTGTTATAGCTAAAATAGTAGTAAATCATGTTGATGTGTCTAGTTGGGGCATTTCACTGTGGAAAGGTTTAATTCTTTCGATCTTTAACTTAAAAGGTTAATGCTATGTGAGCTTCACAGTGTTAATTAAGTTATCGATACTGATCAATCCTCGAAATATTTTAATGGCACTAGTTCTAGAACAATAGGTATAAAGCTGTGATTTGATCCACAAATTTCTGAACACTGACCATAGTAGAGACCTGGTCGGGTTGATGTGAGTGTGGTTTGGTTGAGGCGTCCGGGAATGGCATCAGTTTTTAATCCTAAGGAGGGTACAGCTCATGAATGAAGGACATCTTCTGATGAGATTAATATTCGGATGGGTACTTCTATGGGTAGAACTACGCGGTTATCAACTTCTAGTAGTCGAAGTTCTCCGGGTTTGAGGTCTGTTGTAGGGACTATATAGGAGTCAAAGTTTAGATCTTCATAGTCTGTATATTCATAACTTCAATATCATTGATGTCCTATGGTTTTGACAGTTAAAAGTGGGTTATTGATTTCGTCTATTATGTAGAGAATTCGTAGGGAGGGGAGAGCAATTAAGATGAGGATGATAGCGGGTAGAATGGTTCATACTGTTTCTACTTCTTGAGCATCTATTGTGCTTGTGTGGGTTAGTTTGGTTGTTAGTATTAGGGTGATGATGTAAAGTACTAAGGAGCTAATTAGAAAAACGATTATTAGGGTATGATCGTGAAAGTGAAGTAATTCTTCTATAATAGGAGAGGTAGCATCTTGGAAGCCTAGCTGGAGAGGATGTGTCATAAAAATACACAGGAGTTCAACCTGTAATTTAACTTTGACAAAGTTATGTAATAGTTTTACTAGTACTTTATCATGAAGAAAGACATAATGGTTATGAAGTTGGCTTGAAACCAATTTTTAGAGGGTTCAATTCCTTCCTTTCTTGTAGTAGGCTACGCTTTTACGTAGGTAGGTTCTTCAAATGTGTGATAAGGTGGGGGACAGCCGTGAAGTCACTCAAGGTTTGTGGCAGGTAATTCAACTGCTAATACCTCTCGCTTTGAAGCAAAGGCTTCTCAGATTATAAAGACTATTAGTATAACTGCGGTTAGAGAGATAAATGAACCTATGGAAGAAATGGTATTTCATATAGTGTATGCATCTGGGTAATCTGAGTATCGGCGGGGCATGCCAGATAGTCCGAGGAAATGTTGAGGAAAAAAGGTTAGATTTACTCCTACAAATATAATTGCGAAGTGGATTTTGGCTCATGTTGAATGGAGGGTAAATCCTGAAAATAAGGGGAATCAGTGGACAAAACCTCCTATAATTGCAAAGACTGCACCTATGGACAGGACATAGTGAAAGTGTGCTACTACATAGTAGGTGTCATGGAGGACGATGTCGAGTGAAGAGTTGGCAAGGACAATTCCGGTCAGACCCCCGACGGTAAATAGAAAAATGAAGCCTAGAGCTCATAATATGGCGGGGGATCATTTGATGTTACCTCCGTGTAGGGTAGCTAATCAGCTAAATACTTTTACGCCAGTTGGGATAGCAATAATTATGGTAGCGGATGTGAAGTATGCCCGAGTGTCTACATCCATTCCTACTGTGAACATATGATGGGCTCAGACAATAAAGCCTAGAAATCCGATGGATATTATTGCTCAAACTATTCCTATGTAGCCAAATGGTTCTTTCTTCCCAGAATAGTAGGTTACGATATGGGAAATTATGCCAAATCCAGGTAGGATAAGGACATAGACTTCAGGATGACCGAAGAATCAAAATAAGTGTTGGTAGAGAATAGGGTCTCCTCCGCCAGCGGGGTCAAAGAAGGTTGTGTTGAGATTTCGATCAGTTAGAAGTATGGTAATTCCTGCTGCTAGGACTGGGAGAGATAATAACAGCAGGACTGCGGTAATGAGGACAGATCACACAAATAGAGGGGTTTGGTATTGTGATATAGCGGGAGGTTTTATATTGATAATGGTAGTAATAAAATTAATAGCGCCTAAAATAGAGGACACACCTGCTAAGTGAAGAGAGAAAATAGTAAGATCTACAGAAGCTCCTGCGTGGGCCAAGTTTCCTGCTAGAGGGGGATATACGGTTCAACCAGTTCCTGCGCCTGCTTCTACTATTGAGGAGGCTAATAATAAAAGGAAAGAAGGTGGCAGAAGCCAGAAGCTTATATTGTTTATTCGTGGGAATGCTATGTCGGGGGCTCCGATTATAAGAGGCACTAGTCAGTTGCCGAAGCCTCCGATTATAATAGGTATAACTATAAAGAAAATTATTACGAAAGCATGAGCAGTGACGACGACATTATAGATTTGATCATCTCCTAGTAGAGCTCCTGGCTGTCCGAGCTCTGCTCGAATAAGAAGGCTAAGGGCAGTCCCTACTATTCCGGCTCAAGCACCAAATAATAAGTATAGAGTTCCGATGTCTTTATGGTTAGTTGAGAATAATCAACGGTTAATGAACATAGGTAGGGTAGAATGGCTGATAAAGCATTAGGCTGTAAATCTAAAGATAGGGGTGAAGCCCCCTTTTTACCAAGTTCTGAGGTGAATATCATATTGAATTGCAAATTCAAAGAAGCAGCTTCAATTCTGCCGGGACTTCTCCCGCCTTTTTTTTCTTGGCGGCGGGAGAAGTAGATTGAAGCCAGTTGTATAGGGTGTTTAGCTGTTAACTAATTTTTTCGTGGGGTTAGAACCCACCAATCTAGTGGAAAGGACTTAGCTTAAAATAAAGTGATTGATTTGCATTCGGTTGATGTGGAGTAGGCCTCTGCAGTCCTTAGTGGGAGGAAAATATTCAGGAATTAAGCATATTTTAGCTTACTTAGGGCTTTGAAGGCTCTTGGTCTGGTTAACCTAAATTCCTACTCTAGTTGTAGGAGCATGGGGGATATGGGTAAAAGTAGGGTGGATAAGGTTGTTAGAGTGGGTACAATAAATATTAGTTTTGTGTTTTCAAATTGTCATTTTATTTTTGTAGTATTATTGACTGGGAATATAGTAAGGGTTGTTGAGTATGTTAAACGTATGTAGAAAAATAGGTTAAGTAGGGCTGTAATAGCCATTAATATTGGGATGAGTGTATTATTATTTTTCATAAGTTCTTGAATAATTGCTCATTTAGGGAGGAAGCCCGTAAGTGGGGGTAGTCCTCCTAGGGATAGTAGAATTAGGGGTATTATAGATGATGCTAATGGAATTTTATTTCATGAGTTAGATATTGCTAGGATTGTAGTACTTGAGAATAGGATTAATATAGAAAATAGTGTAATTGTTAGAATAATATAGATAAGGAGGTTAAGGATTATTATAGCAGAGTTATATTTTAGAATTGCAACTATCCATCCTATGTGGGCAATAGAGGAGTAAGCTAGGATTTTTCGTAGTTGTGTCTGATTCAGTCCCCCTCAGCCACCTAATGCAATGGAGGTTAAGGCAATTAAGGTTATTAGCGTTAGATCTAGGGTTATGTTAATTTGATATAGAATTGAAATAGGGGCTAGTTTTTGTCATGTGAGGAGTAATATTCCGGATGTTAGTGACACTCCTTGTGCGACTTCGGGTACTCAGAAGTGAAAGGGTGAGAGGCCTAGTTTTATCATTAAGGCAATTAAGATTATTATTGAGGATGCTTGATTGAATTTGTTTATAGCAGTTCACTGCCCGGAATAACTTGAGTCTGTAATTACGGCTATTATTAGAAGTATGGAGGCTGTCGCTTGAATTAGAAAGTATTTGGTAGCTGCTTCGGTTGAGCGGGGGTTGGCTTTTTCAATTAGGATCGGCGTGATAGCTAATATACTTATTTCTAGTCCGATTCAAATTAGTAATCAGTGTGAACTGAATATTGTGATTATAGTGCCTGAAAATAGGGTAAGGAAAATAGAGGATAAGGTTAGGGGTTTAATTAGTACGGGAAGGATATAAACCAACATTTTCGGGGTATGGGCCCGATAGCTTATTTAGCTGACCTTACTGTAGAATATTGTGTAATTAGGTAGCACGAAGAATTTTGAGTTCTTAAGTATAGGTTCGATTCCTGTAATTCTAGAAATAAGAGGATTTAAACCTCTATTATTTACTCTATCAAAGTAATTCTTTTGTCAGACATATTTCTTATCTTATAGGTGGGGTGGGATGCTGCATATTAGGACGGGTATTGAGATGTATCATATACAAAAAGCCAGTGTGAGTGGAAGGAAATTTTTTCATAGAAGATGTATTAATTGGTCATACCGGAATCGTGGATATGAGGCTCGGATCCATAGGAAAAGTGATGTGAGAGTGAGTGTTTTTGCTATGAAGTTGATTGTAAATATTTCAGGTGAGAGAATGTTATGTAATGCGCCTAGAAAGATAATGGTAGTTAGAGCATTTATTATAATAATGTTAGTGTATTCTGCTATAAAGAATAAGGCGAAGGGTCCTGCAGCATATTCAACATTGAATCCTGAGACTAATTCTGATTCACCCTCTGTAAGGTCAAAGGGTGCTCGATTTGTTTCGGCTAGTGTTGAGATAAATCATATTATTGCTAGTGGTCAGGAGGGGAAGAATAGTCAAGAGTATTCCTGGGTTGTAATTAGTGTCATTAGTGTGAAGGACCCATTTATTAGGAGAATTGCTAGGAGAATAATTGCGAGGGTCACTTCATAGGAGATTGTTTGGGCCACTGCTCGGAGCGCGCCGATTAGTGCGTATTTGGAATTTGATGCTCAGCCCGATCAGAGGATGGAGTATACGGCTAGACTGGATGTTGCTAGAATAAATAGGATACTTAGGTTTATGTTGAGGAGGGGATGTGGCATGGGTATGGGAATTCATATAATGAGGGCTAGGGATAGAGCAAGGGTAGGTGCAATAATATAAAGTAGGGATGTTGATGTAAGTGGGTGGAGGGGTTCTTTGATAAATAGTTTTATTGCATCTGCAAAGGGTTGAAGGAGACCATAGGGTCCAATGATGTTAGGGCCTTTTCGGAGTTGTATATAACCTAGTACTTTGCGTTCTGCCAATGTTAAGAAGGCTATGGCTAGAAGAATTGGGATGATTAGGATTAGCAGGTTAATTAGGAACATGTTGTTAAGAAGAGGAATTGAACCTCTGATAATAAAGTTTTAAGTTTTATGCAATTACCGGGCTCTGCCATCTTAACGAATCCTGCTCTTGGGTAGGATTATTTATTAATTTACTAGATTGAGATTACTTCATCTATTAAATAGGGGACGCCTCAGGTAGAGGTAGGTCCCATCTTTCTTGTCCTTTCGTACTGGGAGAGATAATAAATAGATAGAAACCGACCTGGATTGCTCCGGTCTGAACTCAGATCACGTAGGATTTTAATCGTTGAACAAACGAACCATTAATAGCGGTTGCACCATTAGGATATCCTGATCCAACATCGAGGTCGTAAACCCTATTGTCGATATGGACTCTGTAATAGGATTGCGCTGTTATCCCTAGGGTAACTTATTCCGTTGTTCAAATGAGTTTGGGTCAATAAATGATTTTTGCCTAGACTGGTAAAGTCTTGGGTGTTATCATTCGGAGGGTTTTTTATGCTCCGAGGTCACCCCAACCGAAATTTACGACTCATGCTCAGTTTAGTGTTAATCCTACTAGGTTATTTTTGTACTGGTTGAGTAGTTAAATTGAAGCTCCATAGGGTCTTCTCGTCTTATTGAGATATCTCCGCCTCTTCACGGAGATGTCAATTTCACTGATTGGAGGGAGGAGACAGTAAAACCCTCGTGGGGCCATTCATACTAGTCCTTATTTAGAGAACAAGTGATTATGCTACCTTTGCACGGTCAGGATACCGCGGCCGTTTAATAAATATATCACTGGGCAGGCAGTGCCTCTAATATTAGTTATGCTAGAGGTGATGTTTTTGGTAAACAGGCGGGGTTTAAAGTTTTGCCGAGTTCCTTCTGCCTCTTTTAATCTTTCCTTTGATGGGTCGCACACCTGTGTTGGGTTAACAATGGGTATAATAAGTTATATATTTGTAATTGTTTATATTGGGTTGTTAACTATCAGTGGATTATCCGGTCTGATATAAGCTTGTGCGAGGAGAATAACTTCTTGTTACTTATATTAGCAGTATTGCTTCTATTATCTATAGATTGGTCCAATGTGGTTATAGGAGTTGTGTTTGGTTTTTGAAATTAAAGTGCTTTTAGTAGGCTGAGCTTGGACGCTTTCTTAATGGGTGGCTGCTTTTAGGCCAACTATGGAAAAAGATTTTAATTACTCTCTAAGTAAGGTTGTTTCCTATTTCTAAAGAGCTGTCCCTCTTTAGAATAACATTTAAATTTACATGGAGACTATTTGTTCTGTAGGTAAATTTAAAGTTGAACTTATATTCTATTTTGGACAACCAGCTATCACCAAACTCGATAGGCTTTTCACCGCTGCTTATAAATCTTCTCACTATTTTGCGACATAGATGAGTATGCTCTTGTGGCTGTTCATAAGTAGCTCGTTTGGGTTCGGGGTTTTTGGCTACAGTTCTCTTTGTAAAATATTTCTAGCTAATTCATTATGCAAAAGGTAAAAGGGGGTGTCTTTGCTTTTTTGTACTTTAAAGTAAAGTATCTTTCATCTTTCCCTTGCGGTACTTTGTCTATAGCGCCTATATAAATTTCTATCTCCTATACTTTAAAGGCTGAAGGTAAATGTTTTGGTTTACAAGATTTAGTATGATTTAGTTTGTTCATATTGGGCTAGGATTAGGTTCAAAGTGGTCATTTGTGAAATCTTCCGGGTGTAAGCCGGGTGCTTTGTGGCTTAAGCTACACTTTGTCTACTCCAAGCACACTTTCCAGTATGCTTACCTTGTTACGACTTATCTCATCTCATGCGCTATAATTTGTTTTATGTAGATTGTTGTGGGAGTTGCATTTGAGGAGGGTGACGGGCGGTGTGTGCGTGCTTCATGGCCTTTATTTCAATCAAGCTCTCTATTCTTGATTTACTACTAAATCCTCCTTTAATTCTTATTTTCATAAGAATATTCGTAATACTCTAAGATAGAGAATGTAGCCCATTGCTTTCCACCTCATAGGTTACACCTTGACCTAACGTTTTTATGTTTATACTTGTGCTTACTTTAAAACCTTTATTAGGGTTTGCTGAAGATGGCGGTATATAGACTGAATTAGCAAGAGGTGGTAAGGTTGATCGGGGTTTATCGGTTATAGAACAGGCTCCTCTAGAGGGGTGTGAAGCACCGCCAAGTCCTTTGAGTTTTAAGCTGTTGCTTGTAGTACTCTGGCGAATAAATTTGTTTATATTTATTTATGTTTATGGCTAAGCATAGTGGGGTATCTAATCCCAGTTTGGACCTTAGCTGTCGTGTCTTCAAAGATATTAAAGTCACTTTCGTAGATTATTTTAAGTCAGACTGGAGCTTTTTACAGCTTAGTCGGGATTTAACTTTAGTTTAAGTATAGATTAAACACGCTTTACGCCGTATATTTATTAGTTTGGGTTAATCGTATGACCGCGGTGGCTGGCACGAAATTTACCAACCCTGGCATATCTAGTATAACTTAGTCAAACTTTCGTTTATTGCTTAAATTTTGTTACTGCTGTATCCCGTGGGGGTGTGGTTGAGCAAGACGTTGTGAGCCACTGTGTTAGTGTGCTTGATGTCGGCTCCTTTTAGTCTATTGGACTTGGAGGGCATTCTCACTGGGAGGCGGATACTTGCATGTATAATTTTACTAGAAACTAATAAGAAGGTTAGGACCAAACCTTTGTGTTTATGGGGCTTGGGCCCGTCTAGGCATTTTCAGTGCCTTGCTTTAATAGTAAGCTACATTAAC